GACGGAAGGACGGAGTTGGACGGGGAAGAGAAGGAAGAGCCCAGCAAGCCGGCCACGCTGCTGTGGCTGATCCAGAAGCTGGCCCGGACGGCTAAGCTGGAAGCTGCTTATACTCCCAGAAACCCCTTAAAGGTGCCGCAGGCAACTAAAGTCTCTGTTGTTCGTGTGTTTTGTTGTTGCTGTATAAAACAGGGTCTCAGCTCAGTGTATAGCCCTGGATGGCCCGGAACTCTGCTAAGCCAGGGAGGCTTGGATTAACAGAGACCTGTCTGCCTCTCTCCCAGATGCTGGCCTCTTGGTTTTTGACACAGATTTGGTTTTGGAGTTTTGTTTTATTTTTATTTATTTATTTATTTATTTATTTATTTATTTATTTCGTTTTTAGAGACAGGGTTTCTTGACACAGGCTCTAACCCATTTACCTGGTGCTTGTTTTGTATCTCAGGCTGGTCTGAAACTTGTCCTTACTGTAGCAATCCTCCTGCCTTGGCCTCCCGAGTGCTAGATTTATTATAGGAGTAAGTTACAACATCAGATATTTTCTTTGGGAGTTTTGATTTGGGGTGTTTGTTTTGGGGCTTGGAGTTTCTTGTTGATGTGTATATGTTATTGGTGAGACTTTTGGATCCTTGGGACTTTGTATTTTGAACCTAAAATTGCAACAATGTCTGTCTCAAAAAAGAGCAAGCTCGGCTTTTCAGCTGAACACTGTTGGTGTGACTGAGTGTTGAGCGGAGACAGTTCAAGTAGATTTCTTCTTTCAGAGAACCTGCATCTTTAAGTTTCTTGGTGCAGTAGCTGTGGACCTTGGAGTGGACCGGGTCCAGCCCTACCTCCCAGAGATCATCGCGCCTCTGTTTCGGGAACTCAACAGCACCTACTCGGAGCAAGGTACCCTGCCACCTGTCCTCTTGAGTGTTTGCACACTGGGACCCCTTCCTTCCTGTCTTCCTTCCTACTGGAGTTTAAGGAAGAAAACATTTAATGGCAAACATATTTTCCATTTATTCAATGAACCTTCTGTATGCTTCCAATCATGGCAAAAAGCGGGTGTCATCGGGTGTGACGTGTGAGGCAGGTGGAACTTGATAACTTTAAGGCCAACCAGGACTACACAGTGAACCGCTATCTGAAAGGGGTGAGAAAATGTTTGGCTTCTGTAGAATGATGACTCTACCCTCAGAGGCAACTTCTAGGTATTCCTAAACCTAGCAGTGGACAGGTGGTGCTGTGTGCTGTAATCCCAGCACACTGGAAGCTCCCAGAGGAAGAGAGTTCTCTCAAAAAACTAAATAAATAAGACAAATGGAGCAGATTTGGTGTTAGATTTGGTATTAGATTCCCAAGTTTTCATATCTTACTTATTCACAAATACCTCACAATTTAATTTTTTTTTAATATGTGGCTTAAGTAAGTATAGAGCAACAGTCTGTGATTTCATAGAGACCTTAGCACTTGGTCCTGAGGTTGGTGTTTCTAATGCTCTAGTAAGTCACTTTCAGAGGAGCCTAGGGTTGTTGTCGTGGGGTTGTTGTGTTTTGTTTTTAGTCAGGGTTTCTCTATGTATCCTTGACTGTCCTGGAACTAGCTCTGTAGACCACGCTGGCTCTGAACTCACAGAGACCCACCTGCCTCTGCCCCCAGAGTGTTGGCAAAAGTTTATCCTTGTGACCACCCAATGAGGAGGCGTTTTTAGCTGTTCAGCCTCATTCATCTTTAGCTCACTGTACTTCATGATAAAGTGGTCTTCTTTAGTGCCTAGTGTATTTGGAGCAGTCCAGTCTGTGGATCAGGCCCTTGGATACATCTTAATGGATTCCCATGTATTTAAGACAATGCAACTGTGTGGCTGAGTTGCATTTTAGAAAGAGAAAGGGAGGATGGGAAAGAGAGCACAGCTAGGCTCTGACCTGTGCGCTGGAGGCTGGAGCTGACAGGCTCACAGAGGAAACCCAGCAGCCAGGTTCCTGTCGGGAGCTGGGCCTCCTAGAGTCTGATCTCCTCTTGCATTCTGGCTAAGGGGGACCCTACGGGTGCCACACCCTCCCACCTCCGAGCTCAGGGGCCATGGATTTGTGTTGAATGAGAACAAATGGTCATGATGCCACAGGAGTTGAAGTGTTTTGACGTGTGACTGCCTCTCATCTTTCTTCTGTGTGATTAGATCCTCTGCTGAAGAATCTATCCCAGGAAATCATAGAATTACTCAGAAAGCTGGTTGGGCTCGAGAGTTTCTCGCTGGCCTTTGCCTCTGTCCAGAAGCAGGCTAGTGAGAAGAGAGCGCTCCGGAAGAAGAGGAAGGCCGTGGAGGTGAGTGCTGTGTGCTGTGCACGCGTGTGCTGCTGTTCCCTGGGGGAGGGGGAGGAGGGTTTTCATTAGTGGCATCTTGTGCATTTGCTTTGGGTTCTTTTAACATATACCTTAAAAGTAATGCACGATCTCTGCTTTCTCTTCAAGTTTGTAACCAATCCTGATATTGCTGCCAAGAAAAAATTGAAGAAACATAAAAATAAAAGTGAAGCAAAGAAAAGAAAGATCGAGTTCCTGCGCCCAGGCTATAAGGCCAAGAGACAGAAATCCCACAGCCTGAGAGATTTGGCGATCATGGAGTGAGATCTCCCTGTGCGCAGAGCAGTAACTCACGCGGTCTCTGGGGGAAACCTGAACTTCTGGCCTTCCTCTCCTGGACTGAATTAGACTTCGGAAGGTAGGCATGGCTGTAATCTCTGCTCCTGGACGGCTAAGGCAGGATTGCTTCAAGTTTGAGGCCCACCTGAACTACACTGTGAGTTTCAGGCTAGTGGACTAATGAAAACAGGACTCAACCAAAAGAAAACAAGTTAAAGCTTGGCATAGATTTGTAATTATATTTTAATGTAATAATGTTTGTATTTTTTTTAAATTAAAATGTTTAATATGATACTCCTGTATCTTCATTGTCTAAAAAGTGTATGATACTAAATGACATGGTTTTAAACCTAGCTTTTTCAGAAGAAGATCATTTAACACAGGGAAAAGCTGGTGTGGTGGCGTTCACCTTTAATCCCAGGAGTCTGGAGGTAGAAGCAATTGGATTTGTGAGTTTGAGAACATAGACCCTGCCTCAAAATATATATTTATGTATATCATATATTTTAAAAATTGTATTTAAGTATAAAAAGTAGATATTAGGAATAAGTAGAACAAACTATTGGTAATAACCTCAGGAAGCATTGAGAAGTCTGTGAACAGACACAGCCATGCTCATGGGTTCAGTATCGTAAAGTGCTGTTTTCCCAGACTGATCCCTCTGGCTGACTACATACGGGAGCAAAACCCAAAAATGTATGGCCCTGTATAATACAGGATAAAGAGAATGAGCCCAGTGTCCAAAGACTGGAGAAGGAACACAATTCAAACCCGCAGTGTGTGGTTACAGGTCTTAGGTTGTACTAGCAACACTTGTAAGATCTGGAGGTCCAGGTTTCCATATTTGGCTTGTGTGCAAATGCCTGGGCTTAAACAAGAAACACAATTACCATTTGCTTTCACAGAAACCTTCCCAAGGGATTCTAAGGTTGACTGCCTCTCTGGAGTGACTCACTCTGGAAGGAAACTGGTTTCAGTTGTTCAGCCATCACCTCCTCACCACACTCAACGTTGAAGCAACACTCTTCAGTGCCCAGTGTATTTGGGAAATAGAACCCATCCTGTGCATTGGGTACCTGGCATACATCTTAATTCTGATCCTACCTCTGAGATCCAAAATTGTTCCTATATTATAGATGAATGGACTCAGCAAATAACTAAGAAATTGTGGAATGTAGAACCAAAATGCAAAACACTCCCCTTACTAAGCTTCTTGCACACACAAGTGCACCCGTGCATGCACACACAAACTGCCAAGCTCCTTAGATGGATTGGTGCGCACACACACACTCTCTAGTATTCAGATTTACTTGGTAAATGTCAACACTGGAGCTCGGGATTTATTCTAGCCTCTGTGATGCTCCATCAGATTGAGGTGGTGGGGGCTAGGTGCCAGGCAGCCTGTGTCTACCACACCCTATTTTTCCAGTGTTCAAGAATCATAGGGGAGTAAACCCAGTAACTCAGTGTAAATAAATTACTCTCTTGTCATTTTCCAGCTCTGTGCCATAGACCGGAAGGAAACTAAAGTATAAACTGCAGTGAGTGCCTCTTGCCTACCTGACCGGTGTATCCTATGCGGCTTCTGCGTGTGAGGGATGCGCTTGTCTGTGTGTGCAGATGTGAAGGTCAGATCTCTCCATCTTGTAGGCTGAGATAAAGGTCTCAGGGCTGGACCTTGCTATTTCACTAGACCAGCCCCCAACACTGAGGTTAAAGACATGCCTGGCTTTTTACATGCTTGCTGGGTATCAAGCAATGACCCTCATGCTGACACCGTAACCTCCCCAGCCTCAAGTATGAATATATTGCAATGGAAGGGAATGTCCACATATATGGGTACCAAAATGCATATAAAAACAAAAGCCCTGTCCATCAAAAGTGTACTCATTTGTCCTGGGAATAATTGTGCCTGGAGGAAGAGGGTCCCTAAAAAAAGATTGCAAAAAAAAACTTGAGTAGAAGAACAAAAAGGTTATGAATCCTAAGCCGGCCATGATAGTATGAAGCCAGACATGAAAATCCCTCAGGAGCGAAGTGCATTCTTTACTTACCGTAACACAATGACCATCTATGGGAGGGAAGGCTAGAGCCCACATCTGTACCATGTCTAACTTTCAAACGCTCCTTGTTGGTATCTGAAAGAACCCCCAGTGTTAGTGACACCACGGACCATGCCCACCGTCACACGTGCTAAGGGCGAGGTGGACTATTAGACTGACGTAGTTCCTCAGGACAGTTTTAAGTCTGCAGTATGCCTAATTTTTAAAACTAGGAATATGCTAGTTTAATTTTCTTTAGAACCAGTAAGATTCTTTAGCCAATTTTAATCTGAAAAGGGCAAATGAGTGGAAACAAGTAAAGACACCATGTTAATATTATTAAAATTACTTTTTATTTGCTTTCATGTGAAGTTTTTTATGTGTCGTAGATTCATTAGATACAGCTATCTGGGATCATTCTATCAGTTATCATTTTACTAGCATAGAAAGAGTTTATATAAACAGTACTTTGAATGTCCATAACTACTTTAGTATATTTTGTGTGTGCAGTTGGTTTATTAATTTTGTTTTGAGACATGGTCTCAAGCAGCCCAAGCTGGCCTCAGATTCACCACACAGCCGAGGCTAGCCCTAACTCTCGGTCCTCCTGCCTCTGTCTCCTGAGTACTAGGATTACACGTGTGTGCCACCAGATCAGTATCTGTGTTCCCAGATCAGTATTTCCATATACAGTATGGTTTCTGACACAAATGTCTGACCCCCACCTCACTATATAGGGCCAGGCAAAGCAACACAGCAGAACCTTGTGCTTCTCACAGGGCTACTGTACAATGTTCAAGTCAACGTGTCAAATTCTTTTGACAGCTATGAAGTATTGTAAAATAATGTAAGTCAGTAAAGTAAGCCAACAAAATAATACTCGTGCCTATAATCAAAAACCCAAGAGGAATAGCTTAATATAAACTAGTCCAGTGAGATTATATTATACACACTATATTGCTAATCTACTTTGCTAAGACTATTCTTTGGAAAGCCTTAATTCATTTTAAGGGGAAATAAATCTGAGCTAAATATTAGTGTTCATACAAACAAAATGCAACCACTAATTTAAAGATAGGAGGCCCAAGAGTATACATCCTTTAATAGAATTGTATTTGCGTAAGAATTCCATACAAATAGAATATATACCTTAACACAAGAAAGCAAGGAAGAATATTTTACATTGCACAGACCATTTGGATGGTATAATCAAGCTTAGTACTTGCTTTTTATATTTATTACAAATCCTGGAGTCAGTTCTGTACATGCCAGCAGTCACAGTCCTAAGTCACCAAAGCACATCTGGCCGATTCCAATTAGTGTGTGACAGTGTTTGCTTCACAGATGAGTGGACTTACTGTCTGCTCTTCAGTGTTTCAACTAACCTGCAGAGAGAAAATGCAGTAGTTTAACAAAACTAACTCCCAGGTGTAAAGCATGAACATTTACAATATGAATTCCACAGTGGAGGTGGGTTTAGAGCATTTTACATCACCAAGTTCAACACAGATCAGAGAAAGGGGTCGGGGTATCTACTGATTTTTCTTTTTCTTAAAACAGAATCTCAAGCCCCAGGCTAACCTTGAACTCACCATAGACCCTAAATTACTGACCTTGTCTCTGCTTCCAAAGTACCGAGATTATAGGCAGGCACCATCAAATCTGAGTCTCAGGTATCTTACTTTCTGCTATTACTGCTGGGTTGTACATAGGTACACCTTGGAGGTAAGAACTCATTATTCTCAAACAGCTGGAGTAGATACACCTATTGATCATGTGTCACTGGGCTGTGATAAGGACAGTGGGGTCGCAGACACACTTGAGACTCTTGGGGGAGGAAGAAGGGAGGACCGCAGCAGGGTCTCCCCACGCAGCCTCAGCTCATCTACCAACTGGCCTCAAACTTGGTGATTCTCCTGCATGTGCCTCCCAAGGGCTGGCAGTGGTGGTATGGGCTACCACGATGCCTGTCAAGGTTTTGTGGACAAGAAGTAAGCCTTATCCTAACTCCCAAAGGACTCAGGACAGGAAGGGGAAGGGGACGTAGAACAGAGAGCCAGCTTACCCGGTGTGGGAATGCACGCTAAGGAGGCTGGGCTACATACCAGGACAAAGAACACTATCCTACAGGAAGCTTCCCATACGTGTGCACAGACGCTCACCATTCCATGGCCTCGTCAAGGCCGGTGCCTTTGGTTGCTGACGTTTTAAATATCTGCCATTTTCGGTCCTTCAGGGCTGGCAGCCCAAGCGCATTTGCCATCTCTGAGGGTGTCATAGCCTGCTCCATGTCCTGCTTGTTTGCAAACACCACTAAAATGGCCTTCCTCAGCTCTTCTTCCTAAATAAGATGGAAAGACTTCATTTTAATATGCACCCTTGATTTGGGAAAAAAAAAAAAACACTGAAAAATAAATGGTGTTGAAGAAAGTATGTACTTATGTAGCCATACTCTTGTAGACTAATGAAATTCACGGGGTCACACACACAAACGACATGAACACAGAAGGGAGGCCAGGTGGGAAGAGGGGCTGGTGGGGGCGGAAGGAGAAGGGAGACGATAAGGAGGTACATATAAACAAAACACAGCATGTACGCGCAGGAAAACGTCAAAGACACCACTACTGTGTACAGCTAACAGACAGAAGCATTCAAATACAGAAAGAACAGCAATCCTGTACTTGGAAGTCTGAGGCCAGCCTGAGGACATGGCAGGCAAGTTCAGGTCCGCAGATGCTAAAAGCAAGACCCAATCTCAGAAGAAAAAAAAAAACCTTTCAACCCTCACTGATTTCCTGTCTTATTTGTTGGTGGTTGGCACATCTCAACTTTGGGAGTTTTGAGTTACAATTAAACCTATCTTCTCTTTTGTAAATCTTCCCACTGTTCCAGAAAGGCTTTCCCAATCCAAATGCTATGCTTATTCACCGATACATTCCTGGCTAATATCCGTATTTTACACATTAGCAATTTCACTTAGAATGCATTTATACATACAGAGAGTAAAACCCTAAAGTGCTTTGTGTTTAGGCTTTAATGCCAACAGTGCACACTGGCACCAGACTTCCACCCAACTGTCGATGGTGCACACAACAGCCATTCGCTAACATGGGGCTTCCAGTCTTGCTCTGCAAGGTGTCTTCTCCTGCGTGAGGGCGCCAGGGTCTTGTGCAAGCTGGAGAAGCACTGCGGGATACCCCCCTGGTTTTGAGTAGTCCAGGACGGCCCCAAGTCATGACCTCAGCCTCCCGGGCACTAGAACAGAAGCACGTCCTGTAATGACTGACAGGCCCATTTCTCTAAGATTTTATAAACCAAATCCCAATGCTGCAAATGACTCCTAACAGTCTTACACAACTCGAGAATTGTAAATTTAAGTTAATAATATTTTCCAAAATAATACTTTATATATGTAAACCAGGCCTAAATAAGGCGCTGTTTTAGAAATCCATTGTATGTGACAATAATTAATGAATGAAAACAGAGGTCCTGAGTCTTAAAGACTGCAAGAAGTATGAGGAAGGCCTTGGAGGGACAAAAGGGAGGCAGAAAATGATGGCACTGTAACCTCAAAAAAACAATTTAAACAAATTTTAAAAATCCATTATACCCAAGGGAATGAAATAGTTCCTTAAGATTCCTTAATTCCCAGGCAGGCATGGTGGACACACCTGGTACCCTAGTACTTGAGAGGAGGAGGCAGGAATACTATATGAGTTAAAGGCCAGCATGGCTTCACAGCAACACCTTGTCTCAAAAAACAAAGAAAAACAAACCTTTATAGTTTTATCTAAGCAGCTTATAAAGAACACAGGTGACTTACAGCCCTGAAACTACAAACCCGCAGTCCACACTTCTGAAAAGAAACTGACCCAGCACAGTGGCCCAATGAGAACGTCCCCTCCACCTGGTGTCAGACACTTACTGACCCCCACCTGAGCAGGAGTGCTGTGTGAGGAGTCTTGGGAGCTGTGACTGATTGAAGAAGGTAAGTCACTGGGAACTGGGCTTGAGAGACATTTCCAGCTTGTTCTCTCTGGTTCCTGCTGGCAGTTTAAGACGTGAGCCCTCAGCTTCCTGCTTCTGCAGCCACAATTGGTTCCTAGATTCTAACCTGACCCTCTGGGACCGTAAACCCAGGAAGCCCTTCTGTAAATTGCCCTGGCTGAGGCGTTGAACCACAGCAGCAGAACCTCAGTACCAAGTAGCCTACAACTGGTAGGTAAGCATCAAACAGCCAGGTTAAGCTGGAACTGTAGAAAAATGAATATCCACTTAAATTTCTAACAAATGCTACTGGGGTGTTCTTTGACAAATCAAAGCATATTTACCTTGAGTCTTTGATCTAATGAATGTTCTAAATTTGACTAGCCAGACAAATTATAAATGCTATCAGTAAATAAGATGTACTGAGTTTCTGAGCTAGATATCCAGCTCTCGCTTAGCATGTACATGGCTCTAAGTCCAGCCACCAGTACAAGTTAAAAAAAAAAAACAAAACCAAAACTGCAGGGCGTGATGGCCTTTAATCCAGCATTTAAAAGATAGGTGGATTTCTATGAGTTCAAAGGCAGCCAGGGCTGGAGTGAGACCTTGTCTCAGAAACAAAACTGCCTGCAGGGCAAGCTCCTGTCACTCCTGTCACAGAAGGGAGAGGACAACACAAAGGAGGCAGCACCACACTGTAGGGAGCTCGGGTTCCAGGAGGGCAGCCAGAGGACCACACCAGTGACAGGGAAAACTCCACAAAGCACTCTAACTGCCAAGAACCCAGAATACACATTTCTTAGTGCACCTATGTTTTAAAAATGACCAAGAGTAAGACAACTTAAAAGGCAGAACTGGAGAGATGGCTCAGCGCTCCTCCAGGGTTTGGTTCTGAGCACCCACAACTGTAGCTCCTACAACCTGGACTCCAGCCCCAGGGTATCTGTCACCTCTTCTGGCCTCTGAGGACACCCACACACATGTTCATGCAGACAAACCAGACAAAAATAAACCTTTTAAGACAGCAAGATGGCTCGGCAGGTAAAAGTCGCCTCTTAAGCCTGGCAACCTGAGCTACATCTTGGGAAACCTACGTGAGGACAGATGAAGAATTAGTCCAGTGGTTAAGAGCACTAGTTGCTCCTGCAGAGGACCCAGGCTCGATTCTTAGCACCCACACACTGGCTCACAATCAGCTATACTCCCACTCCCAGGGGACTGGATAATCTCTCTTTTTTTTTTAATATTTATTTATTTATTCAGCTATACTCCCACTCCCAGGGGACTGGATAATCTCTCTTTTTTTTAATATTTATTTATTATGTATACAATGTTCTGTCTGTGTGTATGCCTGCAGGACAGAAGAGGGTACCGGACCTCATTACAGATGGTTGTGAGCCACCATGTGGTTGCTGGGAATTGAACTCAGGACCTTTGGAAGATCAGGCAATGCTCTTAACCTCTGAGCCATCTCTCCAGCCCCTGGATAATCTCTTCTGACCTCCACAGACACCAGGCATGCACACGGTACTCACACATAATGCAAACAAAACATCCATACAAATAAATAAATAAAACTTAAAAAAGGAAAAGAATGGAGGAAAACTATCCCTGCACATGGCAACGATTCCTCCACTCCTCATTTACATGTGTAACATTAACGCTGGAATGCTTGCTTACCTCCAGCATGGCCACTAACTCTGACTTGGAAATGCCAATTCGGTCTCGGTCACAACTGTCAACCACATAGATGACTGCATCTGTGTTTGAGTAGTAACATCTCCAATATGGCCTAAGGAAAATTCAAAAACGGAAAACATGTTATCCCTTGCAAAAAACCTCACGTGTCAATCTATGTACTGGACCTGGGTGGATGATAGGGAGCCGGTGATCACAGACCCACCCAGCTCCGCCCATGCTCAGAACAATGCCTCAATGATCTCCTGTTTCTGACAGAAATGCATCTTGCACCACACTCCATGTGACTGAGTTAAAAGAAGAGTATTAAATCACAGGCCCAAAATTACACATTCAGAGTAAATTTGAACTTCAGGATGAGAAAATACAAATATAATCTACAAAGAACACTAACTATACCAGTAGGAAACAGTACACAGACCTGATGAGTATAACTTAGGAGTCTTAACCATGAATACCTTACAAAAAAAAGGATGGGTTTGTTTGTTTACCTCAGAGTTTCTCTGTGTAGCCTTGGCTGTCCTGAAACTTGATCTATAGACCAGGCTGGCCTCAAACTCAGAGATTTGCCTGCCTCTGCCTCCCAGTGCTGGAATTAAAGGTGTGCGCCACCACTACCTGGAATTTTTAATGTGACTTTATGTCCTTAATTACTAATAATAACCAGAAGTAGAATTGGCTATAATTAGAAATAATCTCAAGTGACTTAAATGAGTTACTGAACAGCAGAATATTTATTTTGTCTTTTCTGAGACAGTTTCACTGTGTCACTATTCCCTGACTGAACAGAAACTCGCTCTGTATACCAGATCCTCCTGCCTCTGTCTCCCGGTGCTGGGACTAAAGGTGTGCACCGCCACACCACCAATCTTTATAACCTTACTACTGATCTAAGCTGCTCCCCTAAGCCACTGACAGTCACAGACACTCGCAGTTGCTGAGTTGTGAGCACTGAATTCCAGGAGGCACATGCATTTACATCACCTCTGCATGGCCTTGTACGGATGACGGCTCTCGGAGGGGGACAGGAAACTGAAACCAAACAAGGGGCCCGTTTCTGAGCCTTTCTGGCTTTCATGAAAGGATCCTACGTAATTATCTGGGAACCTGAGTTCCTTAGATTTTAATTACTGGGTGCTCTAGGAACATTCCTAGTTTCCAGTTCTCCCTCATTTTTAACAGTGCGACCCTAATTCCCACCAGAGACACACTGTGGTTTAGTGCTGTCGGCACGAAAAAGCAGCAGCGACTGTTAAATAGCAACAAATGACCTGAAGTTCGTACCGTACCTGATACTCGTCTGTCCTCCTAAGTCCCAAACTTGGAATTTGAGGTTCTTGTATGTCACCGTCTCTACGTTAAACCCAATAGCTGAAAAAGAAATGAAACCGCTAGTGCATGTAGACTGATCCACTCCTCCTTGACAGTCTCCAGCCTCATCAAGTTCTAGGAACTGCTGGTAATTCTCAATCACATTATGGACTGTGTTATTATAACATCTAAGACAATAAGCTATGACACACATGCACCATAAATTAATAAGATCAGCACTGCCTTCAGGTTACAAAGAATCTCCTGACTGCTCTGTGCACATTACTCACACAAACGCTGGCGCACGTGCATGTGTGTAAGCCAGAGGATGAGGCCAACACTGCTCCGCAGACACTGCCCATTGGAGTCTAAACGAGGGAGAAAGTAACGCGGAAAAGACCTAGGGTGGACACTCGCAAGTCTGCTCACATTTCCTAACCTCAAAGGTCAGAGTGAAGAATGACTTTTACTCATTGCTGTTTCCTGTTTAACGCTGTGCTGGCAAACGATGCATGTGGCAGGCAGGTAGGTATGCACATTACAGCTGAAAAGCAAATCCACAGCAAATGCAGCAAATAAAAAGCAAGCTCTGCTCTCCCTCAGAACTAGACAAAGGCAGCTCCATGCTCATCACCACCAAGAGCAAAGGACGGGGTGAAGGTAGCCCACGCCCACAGTGGGTCCACCCACTGTGCAGCTCTGTGCAGCATTGCAGAGGTCACCAGAAGCTACCCAGATGCAGAGGAGGGAGTCTGAGAAGTGAGAATCGGAGGAAATGAAAACAGCAAAAAGAAATAACAGATGCTACAGAATCCAAACATTCATCCGTAAAAGCAAAAAAAAAATTCCTGGAAGGTTCAGTGACGAAATGGGAATTTCCTGACAGTAATTCAAAATACAATTTAAAATCTTGAGCAAATTGTATGGATTCTCCAATTTAATTTAAATGTACTGCTTTTACCTCTCTAGATTTAATTTAGCAAATGAAAGAGTAACCATCCCCATGCAGATGGGAGTATCTGCAAGTAATTTTCTAAGCCAGCAAGAATAATAAGGCCATCTTTGTTTTCCAGTAGCCCAGTCATTTCAACCCCCAGCCTCTACAATTCCCATCTTTAAAAGTGATCTACAGATTGAGCTAGGAGAAACTACACTGTGATTCAAGCATTAAAATGCAGAAAAATGTACTTTGTATGCAACAACACCAATTTACCATCTATACTCTATTCCACACTAACAAAGTGCTGTGTACACATCACCTCTTTACCCCTCAGAGCCAGTAGATGTTTAGTATCTCCATGAAGCACAAAGACTTAGTGACTTAAGCCAACTACAGCTCTAAACAGACATCTGTTTGCATGCATGGAGTGGGAACCTTAAAGTGCATCAAAGCTTCTTAGTGTTGTGTGTGTGTGTGTGTGTGTATGAAAGTATTGCCAATATCATTTTCATACTAGAAGCTTATAAACCCCTATCAATGTATCATATGACTAATTTATTCATAAAGTTGTATTAGATGGAAACCAGAAATGTTCTATAATGAGTTATGAAACCAGTACTTACTGGGAATGGTAGTAACAACTTCTCCAACCTGTAATCTGTACAGAATTGTTGTTTTCCCAGCACCATCTAATCCCAAAATTAATATCCTCATTTCCCTGGTTCCAAAGAGACTGGAAAAAATACTTGAGAAAAAGCCACCTACAAGACAATAAAAAACAAAATATATTTAATGTCATCTTTTAACTTGGGTCCATAAATCATTTAACCTTGCCTTTTGACTAATCAAATAACAAAATATCTACCCAGATGCACAAGTAGATACTTTTGCCTCCAGTGAAATATATTATGCAACAGCAAATAAGCAATCAGAGACGGTCCCTGGTCCTGCATACTGTCAGGCAGGCACACTAAATAATCAGACATGCGGACACTGCCCTCAAGAGTCCAGTTCACGTCCCAGTCAATAGAGCAAGGACAAGATAACTCAGCCCTCTCCTCCTTCCCCCCTAAATACCAAACACCAGTCAGGAGCAGGGGCACAGTGCAGTCCTCTGCTGAGCAGTCACAGGACATTACCAGCATCTTCGGTGTGCTTTGGAGCCCAGGCTGGCCTGGAAATCAGTATGTAGACCAGGCTGGCCTTGAACTCACCCGCTTGCCTCTGTTTCCTGGATGCATTAGAAACTCATTTTACACAGTAAGACTACATCCAATACTTTATGAACTATTTCCAGGAAAACTTATGCATCCAAGACACAAATAAAAGTATTTGTGGCAAAACTCTTTGCCTTCAAAAGTCACTAAAGAAAAAAAAATCACAATATCAAATGAGAAAAGGGAAAAGTGGGGGAGATATAAAGGAGATTATACTCCATATCAATATATACAGGTAATAGATGTGTGTATATGCATATATGTGTACAAGGTCTTTTGGCTAGTGGTCCAAGTCCGTAATGCCAGCTACTCAAAGAAAAAGCAAGAAGAGCACTGTTAGTCGGAAGCCAACTTTGACTACACGGTTGAGCTCAAGGGTAGGCAGCTTGGTGAGATTCTGTTTCAAAGTTTTAAAAGGGCTGGGACTGTAGCTCAGCGGCAGGGCGTTGGCTAACAGGCTCAAGGCTGACTTCAAGCCATAGTCCGCTTGCACGCGCGCGCACACAAACACGGACACAAGGGAAGAAGACAGGAAGAACAGATTCCACCTTGCAAGCAGAACCTGGGGAAGAATGGGTGTGACTTGACAAAGTTCTTTTCGACCCTTTTACACGTAGGAGAGCGGAGGAAAACAACACCGCAGGGTTACAGGGAACCAAGCAGACTGAGGATGCCCGGGATCACACCGAAGAAAACCAGGGAAGGACTGAAGGACAGCAACTCCCTAGAGGCTCCGGCTGTCCTGGGGGGCGTCACCGTAGGGTGCGCCGGGACAAGGACCCTGGTCCCCTCACCTGGGGAACTGCAAACCTGCGAGTTGCGACGAAAACCTCACGCACTTCCCACCTGGCAACCCACCTTCCCCAACTCTCCGCACCGACAGGTACAGTGGGCGGGCAGCACCCGGCCTCGGGGTTTCTCCAAGGGACGCGGTCCCAACTGCCCACGCAGGAGCCATCGAAATTCCACAGGGGTCAGACAGCAGGGCGAGCCTGCGGCCAGGCACCCGCCAGCCGAGACAAGGACGCGGGGTGGAAGGGACCGAGCGGGGGGTCTGGTCCCCACCAGGGTACGAGCCAAGGTGGCTCCGCTGCCCGTGGTCCGCCCGGTCTCCCTCCCCCCACCCCCGACGCCCACCCTCCCCACAGTGCTCACCCATGGTGAACGGCCGCTGCGCCCCTCGCCGATCCTCAGAGTCAGGCCGGCAGTCGGCAGCGAGCGACTCCTAGTTGAGCCTGGACGCCGCCACCTCCGCTGCTCCGGGCCTCCGGTGCCCAGGCCGACTCCCTCCGAGCCAGGTCGGCCAGCAACTTCCACGTCGTCCACCCAGCTGGGGGCGGGAGCTGGAGCAAGCGACTACTGCGACTGCGCGGCCGGGCACGACGGTCTGGGCGTCCACGTCGGCATTTTCGACGCAAAGCCTCACTCCGCCTGCTGAGCGTAGCTGAAGGGGACTCCGCCACGGCCACCCCGACAAAAATGTTTAGGGACCGAAAGTGTCTTCTGATCCCACGTTTCTGAACAGGAAGGCCTTCTGAGATATTAAAGTTGGAATTTTTTCCCTGTTAAATTCTGATACCAAGTCGTGGCGAATCGGCCAAGGCAAAATAAGAGTTAGCGATCGATGAAGCGAGGGCACGGGATGCTGGCGCAGGTTGCGGCGTCGCAGTGGTTGTGGAGCCTGGAGCAGGCTACGGAGGCGGTCCACTTTTCCCCAGATGCTTTCCCGCAGAAGCAGCCAAGATTACGTAATAATAACGAGGAAGCTCAGCCATGCTCGGTGCGAGCCACCCACACTCCCTGGGAGCCATCCGCACGGGGCAGCCTCGTACCCGAGGTGTCCTAATTTTTTGTCCTCTAGGTGGCCATCTGACCGCCTTTCCTCCTCCGCAGAACTGGGAACCCATTGCCTCCTGCCACTTAGGTTGGAAGTTAGGTAGTTTTCGGTAGCTGCGGAGTAGTTTCGAAAGGGTAGATCGGATCCGCCGGTGTCACCCACCGCCATGGCCAAGGAAGGTGCCGCTGCTGGAGCTGCGATGGACATCCACTCTGCTTTGAAGGAGGTGCTGAAGATCGCCCTGGGCCACGACGGCCTGGCAAGAGGGATCCACGAAGCTGCCAAAGCATTAGGCAAGCGCCAGGCCCACCTCTGTGTGCTGGCATCCAACTGTGATAAGCCCACGTACACCAAGTTGGTGGAATCCCTTTGTGCTGAGCACCAGATCAACCTGATTAAGGTTGATGACCACAAGAAACTCGGGGAATGGGTAGGCCTCTGCAAAATTGATCGGAAGGGGAAACCCCGGAAAGTAATAGGTTGCAGCTGTGTGGTGGTTAAGAGCTATGGCAAAGAGTCTCAGGCTAAAGAAGCCATCGAAGAGTACTTCAACTGCAAGATATGAACGGCAATAAAATCGGCTTCTTTTCGTTTTAAGTTCCTAAAAACATAGAAAAGTAGCACTATCTCAAACTCTTGCGTTTTCGTTGGAAATAATAGCACTCTTTAGGTTTTCTTCCAAATGTAAACTTTGCATATTATGTTCTTGTTTATAATGGAAATTATCTGTTTGGAAGTTTACAAACTGCTTAAGATTTGTTCTAGCATTATTAAGGTTTAATTGACAATCTTATATGTATGTTTGGGGCCAACCTGGTCTACAAGAGCTAGTTCCAGGACAGGCTCCAAAGATACAGAGAAATCCTATCTCAAAAAAAAAAAAAACAAAAAACAAAAAAAAAACTGGGCAACACACAGCTTTAATCCCAGCACTTGAGAGACAGATGCAGGCAGAACTCTGTGAGTTCAAAGCCAGTGGTCTACAGAGTGAGTCCCAGCACAGCCAGGCCTACATAGAAAGACAGTCTCAAAAAATAAAAAGAGACGGAAAAAAGAAAAAAGGAAAGAGAACAAGAAAGGGAAGGAAAGAAGGGAGGCCAGGCGGTAATGGCACACGCCTTTACTCTCAGCACTTGGGAAGCAGAGACAGGTGGATCTCTGAGTCTGAGGCCATTCTCATCTAGAGTGAATTATTCCAGGACAGCTCCAAAACAACAGAGAAACCCTGTCTCAAAAGATAAAAAGGAAATACATCACTATAAAACTACTATAAAAATAGTAAGTCCCTGTAGGCAAATTATGAAATCTGTTTTTCAAAACTTCCTCAATAAAGAATAAAGAATAATCACTGAAGCTAAAGAGGTGGCTCAGTAACTAGGATCTCATCTTTTTTTTTTCTTCACAGGGTTTCTCTGTGTAGCCCTGGCTGTCCTGGAACTCGCTCTGTAGACCAAGCTGGCCTTGAACACACCGAGATCTACCTTCCTCTGCCTTCCAAGGGCAGGGATTAAAAGTGTGTGCTCACCAAGATAGGCTAGATAATTATTTTCTCTTAATTTTGTCAAATACAAATACATTAGCTATTGTAACTAGTTCTTACTTGGTAAGTATTTCATTGTATGTAATTTTACTATGCTAAAATTAAAACCTCCCTTTTTAATTAGACCAAAGGGGGGGGTGCTATGAAATAACCCTTCTGTACACTGACTATGTACTGCTCTCGTTGGTTAATGATAAGACTGACTTGGCCTATAGCCAGGCAGAATAAGACTAAGTGGGAAAGCCAAAAGGAGATAGGGAGAGGAAGAAGGGTGGTGTCAGAAGAGATATGCCAGCCAGCCGTGGGGAGAAGCAAGATGCTAGAGGATACATAAAGCCAGGAGCCATGTAGCAAAGCTTAGATTAATAGAGATGGGTTAGTTTAAGTTGTAAGAGCTATTTAGTAACAAGCCTGAGCTAATGACCAAATGAGCTTTATCACTAACCAATGGAAGCAATACATATTCACAGTATACAGAACGATTATCTCAGCAAATATTTATCCAAAGAAACCTAATTTGCTCACTAACTTTGTTGTCTTACACTTACTATCTTACATTCACTAAAATATAAAATAAATGAATTTTTATTGTTATTGCAAAAGAGCACTAAGGTACACCGGGCGGTGGTGGCGCACGCCTTTAATCCTAGCACTCGGGAGGCAGAGGCAGGCGGATCTCTGGGAGTTCGAGGCCAGCCTGGTCTACAAGAGCTAGTTCCGGGACAGGCACCAAAGCTACAGAGAAACCCTGTCTCAAAAAACCAAGAAAAAAAAAGAGCACTAAGGTGTTTGATTTTTTGTTGCTATTTGTTTGGGTTTTTTGTTGGGTTGATTGAAACAGGATCACGCTGTAGCTCTGTAACTCACTATGTAGACCACGCTGGTCTCAGGTATGGGCTACCATGCCCAGCTATATGCTAAATTATAAAATGAGATTTGGGGACTAATGCAATGATCATTAGTATAATTCTTCAATGGCCTTTAATATTATTGAAGTTGTCACCTACAGTTAGTCAGAAATGAACTATTAATGTGATACTGGAGGTCAAACTACCAAAGAGAGAGCGGTCCTAGTCAAGAGCGGCCACTAGGTGGAGGTGGTGTTTTAAGTTCACTGCCGTCAGAAGCAATGAGCAACTTACTATTCTATGCATGTACTGGAACAGAGTCTTGCTGTGTGCTCCAAGCTGACACTGAACTTGTTTCCGAGTAGACTATTTACTCTTCTTTTCTTTTTTCCTTCCTTTTTTTTTTTCAGAGTGCCCAGGCTGGCCTTAAACTCATCCTGCTACCTCAGCCTCCCGAATGCTGGGAGTATAAGTGTGAGCCCCCACACCCAGCCAGTTTAATCTTTCTCAGTTGGTATAGTCCAATAATAATTTACTAATTATTTTCACATCTAATTCCCCCATTTAAATTCACATTTCATTCTGAGGTAGAGAAAGGAATCAGCGGTTACAGCATTTTGAGATTCTATGGTTTCTCAGAGAGAAAACAACTGAGTGCCTATGGCCTCTAAGGATCTTCATAGTGATATTTCATTTGTATTTTAATAAAATGTTTGTCTGAAGATCAGAGAGCAAAACAGCCATTCTGGTCAGCCATATAGATCAAGTGACACACACCTTTAATCCCAGTAGCCATGCTAGTTGCCATAGAAACTGGGCAGTAGTGGTCCATGCCTTTAATCCCTGCTAAAACGGGAGGAGACAGCTCTCAGACACAGTCTCATTCTGAGATCTCTGGAGGCAGGATCGCCATTTCAGACTGAGGTAGAGGTAAGAACCAGTGGCTGGCTATTTTGCTTTTCTGGACTTCAGGTTGAACCCCAATCTGTCTCTGTCTGTGGCTGTATCTGTCTCTTGGTTTTTATTATCATACTACAGATCAATCTTGAGGTCCTAAGAGTTTGATGCCGGTTGCCAGAGGCCAGTGTCTCCTGGGATAGGGGTAGGAAGCAGGAGCGGATCTGCCCCGTGGCAGACTTGTGTTCCTGAGCCTGGCCTTCCACGCAGAACCAGGAGGTCGTCGGTGAAGACCCCAGAGAGAACTGGACGCCACCATCCAGCAGCTGCCAGCAAGGGGAGGCAGGAACTCTGGAGGCTGATGCGACACAGGAGGTGGGAGTCAGCAGCGCCCTCACAGAGAGGATACTGGGGATCACCGAATTTGCAGCAGTACCCCACCCCTGGGCTCCAGGGTAGCAGGCCCTCTCCAAAGGGTGAAACAGGGTTTGTTCCTTGATTTCTCGCTGGCCTCACAAACATGCCAGTACAGATCCCACAAGCTCATGTGCACGGGAGACATGTTTTCCACGGTTCTTCACACCACTCTGAGAGAGATTCTGGGAAACAGCACCTAGGAAATTGAGACTTTTCTTCCCTGCGGGGGGGGGGGGGGGGCTGACTTCCTGTCCCTGCAGAAGACTGCGAAACCAGGCTTGTCTCAGTCAAGGACCTGGAGGCCGGCGGGAAAGTTTCAGACTTCCAGCTCGATGTGCGTTCTCATTCCTGAGCTGCTGAGAGCCAGCCTTGCCTATGCTCTAAGGATGCGGCAGAGTCTGGGGTGTGGAGGGGAGAATGTCCCTTGCTCCCCTGGGCTTCTGGCTGTTTCTGCACTGATATTCCTGTAAGCTTTGAAATTGTCCAAAGACTGGAAGTTCAGTCCCTGTCTCGATTCGGCCCTCCTCTGTTCTTTTCCCAGACAATAACTTGGTCCAGGACAGCCCTGAACATGCAGCAATATCCCTGTTCCAGCTTCCCTGGTGCTCGGATTCCACTGAGTTGACCCCTTTGCTTACCCCACCATATGCAGTTTCTTCCTGAGGTCTTAACTTTTTCTACAGGCCACCACTGGCCTTCTCTTTCCACTTTGCCAGGTGGAGAAGTCTAACTTTCTAATCCTTTCTGTGCTCGGTCGGGGCATCCAACCATTCTCCCCTCTTAGAACTTCTAGTGCTCAGAAGCAAAATGATTCAATACCCTGCCTGGAAATCTCCCAGCTTGAAAATTCATTAGCTGTGTGACACAGATTTCATGTAGCTTGCTTACAGGAAGGGTTTGTTTTTTTCCCCTGCCCTTTTCACAGCCGTCAGTCACAGTTCTCTTTCCCTAGCCTCTAGGCACACTGACATTTGTTCCCAGCCTGGTGACCCTTCACTAATAGCCCGTTCTTCTCCACCTCTAACAGCCCCTGTTTATACAGCACCCACACACTGCGTTCAGAAGCCAAAGTCGCATTTTAAATTTCCATGTACCCACATCTGCTACTGATTTCAGTGTAGCTAGTACTGACGTATAACAAATTACTTTAGAAATTAGTAGTTCCGGCCAGGCCTGGTGTTGTCCATAATCCCAGAATTTGAGAGACAGAAGCAGGAGTGTCACTGTCTGTTCCAGGCCAGCCCATTTTACTTTGGGAGTTCCAGGCAAACCCAAGGCTATGCATTGAGACCCTATCTACAAAACAAAAACCAAGGCTGGAGGTGAGTGTAGGGATAAAGTACTGACTAGTATGCCTGAGGCCGCAGGTTCCACCCAGCACTCTACCTTCACACATAAATTCAAGAGATTAAAGCAACGGTAAAGTATGACTTACTCAAATTATATGGATTAGTTGAGCAGTTCTTTCTCGAGCCTTGTGTGGAGGTGGGGGTGGGGGTATTCAACTGGTTTGGTGGCTGGATGAGTTGCCCCTTTGCTCATATGGTCTCGCACTCCCCTAAAGGCTAACCTGGTCATGATATGGTTCCAATGGTCCCATATACCCAACAGATGCTGTGTGTGCACCAAGAGGCACAGGCAGGGATGCTTTAAACAGCGTGATTCACAGAACCGAAGACCAAACAGCCCAAATGTCTGTCCTTGCATTCTGTGTATTAGCTTTAGCAAATGACCTTGGGGACCACACTATAAGAATAAGAGGAGGATTGAGGAGAAGGAATTGTTTCTCAGGTCACAGTACTTGCCCTAACTGTCCCTGTATAGTAGCCTATCCTCACACAGGGACAGCCTATCCTCACACAGGGACAGCCTATCCTCACACAGGTTAGCCTATCCTCACACAGGGACAGCCTATCCTCACACAGGGACAGCCTATCCTCACACAGGACTGCCCTATCCCCACACAGGACTGTCCTATCCTCACACAGGACTAACCAGTCGGCACAGAGTAATCTGAAAGGTGACCCCTGAACACACATTGCCATTCTTTTATTACTGTCATTGTTGTGCATGATATATTCTTGTGTGTGTGAGTGTGCATGTGTGTTCATATGTTACCATGTGTGCGTGGAGGAGATAAGTTAACACTGGTGTCTTTCTCTAACATTCTCTATTTTCTTGAGACAGGGTCTTTCACTAAGCTCATGGGTACAGCTAGGCTTCCCTCATTAGTGAGGAAATAAAGCTTAAACTTCTTAACGTGGAATTCAAATCCTTCCACATGACACGGGATTCACTCTTTACAGGACTGTCTGATTTGAGCTTTTAAAAAAGGTTTTCTGTTACCATAAGGGAAGCCATTCAACCTCTCCATGCCTCAGCATCCTTTTTGAATTGAAGAATCGGCTGACGGCGTCACTTCTCAGACATCAAATGAGCTAACATAGCCAAAGACTAGAGCCAAGCAGAACCACATGCTGATTTTGTAATTGTAAAGATAGGGGATGCTCATGTTGCTGCCCCCGGCCAGGCCTCCCTTTGAGTAACTATGAAGTTCTATGCTCTGTGACCTATTTACTGTGTTTTATACAGCTGGCCATTGTAATGGTCTGTGCAGTGCTCCAGGCTGCGTGCTTTCTCCGTTATTCCCCATTATATGAATCCTACCCATCTCTTTAAGCTGCTCCCTATGCTGTTCTAGTGCCCAACTCTTCGCTCTTTCTCGGCTGTGCTACAGTGTTCAGCAATGGTGTTTGGAATTTGCACTCATTGTCTCTAACCATCAGCTGTAGCTGATTACTGGGTTCATGCACATATCCAGTTATACACTATTCTTCTTTAAAACCGCGAGTCCTCACTAGCGTTAACGGTCAACTTGACACAGCCTGGAATCACCTAACAAGAGTCTCAATTGAGTCTGAGTGTGGTGGCGCACACCTTCAATCCCAGCACTCTGAAAGCTGAGGAAAGCGGATCTGGTGAGTTCGAGACTGTCCATGGCTACACAGACAAACTGTGTAAAGAAGAAAGGAAGGGAGGGAAGGAGGGAGGGAGAGAAGGGAAGGGGAGGGAGGGAGGGAGGGAGGGAGGGAAGGAAGGAAGGAAAGGAAGCGTTCATAATTGTCTTTATTGGCTAGGTCTGTGAGCAGGTCTGTAAAGGATTATAAATTATCTTGATTGGTAATTGACAGAGGGCCCAGCACACTGTGGGCAGCACCATTACTAGGCATAAGAAAGGCAGCAGTTAACCAGGAGCCCGGGAGTGAGCCCCCCAGTAGAGTTCCTCCAAGGTTCCTGCTCCACGTTCTTGTCTTGATGTCCTGTCTTGACTTCCTTCAGTGACGGAGTGCGGCCTGGGAGGGTAAGCTAAATAAACCTTTTTCTCCCTAAGTTTCTATTCGAGTGGTTTGGTTTGGTTTCAACAACAGGAAGAAAACGAGAGCCCCGTGGTACTGGGAATTGAAACCAGCGCCTCACACCTGCCAGGCAAGAGCTTTGTAAACAGAGCAATATCCCTAGCCCCAAAGTTGTGGGTTTTTCTTCTTTCTTAAGAAGCTTAACATCGTACCTTGTATAAAGTAAGTATTTAGAAGAGTTGTCGTTGAGGATTTGAATGAAGGACTCATTACAGAATTATGCCCCAGAAATAAATCCCATGTTTTAATGCGTGATATTGTTTCCTAGGGTGTGGAGGAAATAGCCAATATGGAATTTCCCTAATCTACTCAGAGGGAGCAGGGTAATGTAAACAGTCTGGGCTGCTCTTGAGCCAACAGCATCAGGACGATCTAAAGTGAGTTTATCTTGAGGTTCAGCTGCCTCCCTTCGGCACTGGAGACAGTGAAATTAGCTGCTGTGGCCCCGTCGTTCAAAACCAAACACACAAAGCACACTGCTTGTGTGTTTTGGGATCACTTGAACAAAAACTAGTTCCATAGAGCGTTTCTTGAAGTGATGGGTCCAATACCCAGTTTAAACACTTGCCTTATACCAACTGCATGTCAAATAAAAGTGTGAACTCTCTGCCTGGAAAAACCAAGACTCTTTATTATCAACGTAGAGAAGTTATTTCAAATTTTAAGGTTAAAATAAGGAAGTGTTTTGAATGTTGCCTAACTCACCATTGTGGGAAAAAGTTAGAAGCCGTTCCGACCATGCCGTTCTACTTTGCATTTCTATTGAATACTTGGACTTTTTCTTAACAAACTTGCAGTATTCGTCTCATAATCTTTAACCTAAATACTAATTTATAATTTTTTGAGAGAAGAATTATATTGCCAATGACCAAATTATTAATCAGGCAGAAGTTTTAGTAGCCAGGTATTGATGTTTACTCTGGACACTATGAAGTACTGACTCCATACATCTGAAAGCCGTTTTTAAAAGTATGTGTCTTTTGTATTTGTATGTGTGTATGTGCCTGAGTGTGTATGTGTGCACCATGTGTGTGCAGGTGCCCTAGGAGAAGAGAAAAGGTCAAACCCCTAGAGCTGGAGTCTCTGGAAGAGCAGTACATACTCATAACCCATAATTCCTAAGCCCCTCTGAAAACATTTTAAATTATAGCACATAATATTCCTATAAAATGTTGCAATTATCAGCTAAATGATAGGCCTAATAAAAGCAATGTAATACTTGTATAGGACATACAGAATATGATAGGTCTTAGTCCTGGTGTATATTACTCATTTAAAGCTGTTCTTAGACTGAAGGACCTCCCTTCCTTTAATCAAACTATTCAATAAATAAATACAGTAAAAATAAAGCTCCCAGAGAATAAAATATCTTTATTCTCTCTCTCCCCCTTTGTGTCTGCATGTGCGTGTGTACAGACACACACCTGCTACAGCACACACATCACTGTCTGAGGACAGCTTTGCACAAATCAGTTCTCTCGCTCCACCTTGTTTGGAGGCGAAGTCTCTTGTTTCTGTCCCTGAGCTGCATACCCCAGGCTGGCTGTCAGCTTCTGGCCATCTCTCCCCCTTTTCCTGGGTCCCATCTTGACACAGGCATGTCTGGAATACAGATGTGCGTCTGGCCTTTTTCTCTTTTAAACCATGGTTCCAGGGTTCCAACCCAGTCGTCAGGCTTAGGCAGCAAGTGTCTTTACCCACTGAGCTATCTCCCTGACCCTTATTGTCTTTCATTTCTCTTAGTCCTCTGTGGTCAGGAAATATTCATGGGAGGGGGTTGTGATCTCTCTGCTATCCTCCAATCCAGTGGTTCTCAAAATGCAGCAACATGGTGGTCTGGACCAGGAGAACCGAACAGCCCTGGAATTTTTATGGAGTTGCAGGAGCCGGATGAATCCAAGACCACCTGGCCCGGTCTCTCTGTTTTGTAGGTGGTGGGGACTTTGTGGAGCCAAGGCCACCTAACTCACAAGGCACAAAACCAGATTTCCTATTTTTCTTCAGGCTGGTTCCTTCGATCTTACTGAGAGTCTGGAAAACACAGACATGTAAGAGCAACCAGAAACACGAGTGGTGTGCTAAAGAGATGAGCAGAATTGCTGTCCCTTTAGTGAGGCGCTGGGCTCTTTGTCTCAGACCTCTCAGCTTGATGAACTGCCTTGGGGTTCAGCTGGGTCTCTCTGTGTTGTTTCTCAAGGTGTAACTGTTTCTTTTTTCTTCTGTCTCTCTGTCTCTCTGTCTCTCTCTCTCTCTCTCTCTGTCTCTCTCTCTCTCTCTCTCTCTCTGAGCGAAGGTCAGAGTCTAAGTGTGCCCCTTTCTCCTGCTCAGGAACTTCCTCTACAGTTCCTGGCCCTGACATTTGGCAGCTGCTGAGATTGACGGTTTGCCTGCCCTGGTTTTGTTTGTTTGTTTGTTGTGTTTCTTTCAAACCCTAAAAAATCTTCCCAGAGAAGAACAAACCAGAAGCACAAGTTTTTTTGACGTGGTAGGGTTCATGCTGGAAACCCCAGCACTGGGCAGATGGAGGAAGGCAGCTGGGGTTGTGTGGTGGACTTCAGGCCGGCCTGGTCTACAGAACAGGAGGCGGGCTTGCTTCTCCGTGCTATGCCAATGTTCTTCATTCCTGGGACGCTTCCATGTCAGTCAGTGCCCGGAAATGACCGGCTCTGTGGTTCCATGAACGGAATGTCTGTGTGCACTGGACACATTCTACCATCCTTGTCCTCAAAAGGCCAGATTTGGAAAAAAAAAAAAAAAAAACAAAAAACAAAACCGAAAAGCTATGGTTGTAGTGGGACTGAGCAGTAAAGGCTGAGACCCCCCACAAGGCTTGGTTTTGTTATCTCTTTTCCAAATCCTTCAAATCCTTTTTTTTTTTTGGTTTTTTGAGACAGGATTTCTCTGTAGCTTTGGATCCTATCCTGGAACTAGCTCTTGTAGACCAGGCTGGCCTCGAACTCACAGAGATCCACCTGCCTCTGACTCCTGAGGGGTCTGATTAAAGGCGTGCGCCACCTCCCGGCTCTTTTGCAAATCCTCATTGTGCGCACCCCGCACTGCACGTTCTCCACGGTGCCTTCGGCTGCAGGTCAGCACGAGTTTACCTACCCTTGGCCACGTGCTTGTTGATTCAACTACAGTACTTCACCTGATCTACATTTGAACAGCAGAGGTAAACATCCTTGATTAAAGTCAATGAAATCAGCATTTAGATAACCTAAACAATTTGCTCAAGGTGTGTAACTAGTTAGTGGCTGAGATAAAACTGGCCCAGGTTTTTGTCAACAGAACCAGGCCTCCTGGGCACTCTTGCCTTGCATAGAGGTACACAGAAACCAGATGACTCAGGATAAAAACTTCCTTGTCGCTGGACCAGAGGATGCTGGACAAGAGGACGTGAGGGACGTGAGGGTACACACACAGGTCACACCTATCATTCCAGAGGCTTCTGCAGGCTCCTGAACTCAAGGTCAGCCTGGACTAGGAAACAACACCAAAACCATCTTGGCTACTTTGTGAGGCTTCTATCAAAAACAAAACAAAAAGACAAAAAAAAAAAAAAAAAAAAAAAAAAAAAAAAAAAAAAAACAAAAAAAAAAAAAAAAAAAAAAACGAAAACCCACCCCTACTCCCTGGCTGCTGTGATTTGAAAAGCCCCTGCTTCTTCACCCCTTCCATCGCCATGAACTTCCTGCCTCACTACAGGGCCAGAAGGATGGGATTGTGCTGCGGACCAAAACCTCTGAAACTAATGATACAAAGCAGATCTCTGCAGGATCCTTCTGGAACTTCTGCAGCTCTCTGACCCTCACACCCTCTGTCTTTGAACGGGATGCTACAACCCAACCCTGGGAACCAAGCCTGCAGTTAGACAGGACCAACTTTCAGGAAGGCAAACGGACACCCACACACACGCACGCCAGCTGACCAGCAAGAGAGCACAGTCTCCTCCAACCGTGGCAGTAACTCTGGAACAAGTTGACAGCGGTTTAGAAAGTCCAATATGCAAAGATTACACAGTGGAAGAAGCCGGAGACTTACCCCGTGATCACCTCTTCCCAGCAGCTGTGTTGTGTCACCCTCACCGCCTGGCACGTGTCCCATGTTTAGGACTTTCAAATGGTGAGGACCCCTCTCTACAAAGCCAGAGGCCTCCGCCAGTAACAGATTCGGCGGTGAAAGGCAGTTCTATGACCGATGCCTTTCTGAAACGAAGGCGTTCTGGATCAAGCCAGTTTGGGTTCCATTCTTATTATGCTTTAAACTAGATCAAAATTTAAAAAAAAAAATAAAGTAGCTATTATGTGTAAGATAATGGGACCAACAAATAATACTACAAAATATCACACATATATTAGATGGATTTAGGGTTCACGTAAGAAACCCCACTCTAGCTGGGCATGGTGGTACACACCTTAGTCCTAGCACTCAGCAATGCAGAGACAGGTGGATTTCTATGAAGCCAACCTCCCCCCTACCCAGTCTATGCAGTGAATTCTAGGACAGCCAGGGTTCCATAGAGAGACCTTGCCTCAGATTTAAAAGAAAAGAAAAGAAGGTGGGACACACACACACAGAAAGAGAGAAAGAAGAAACCCCAATCTATAATATTAAAGCAATAGGAGTTTTTCTTCTCTCATGAAAGTCAACACCTCCAGACCTACAGCTGGAAAACCAAATGTCTCCTGTTCCTTAAATCACAGTGATAATTTCATAACAATGAAACTTAATTACATCGGTTTGCTGTTTCCCCAGATAGAACACTTCCCTAGGGACCTGCTCTATTACACTGATTTCTAATGGATCAGTTCCTGCGCCCTTCTCCGGCCCCTCCCCCACTATCACCCTGTTTTATGTTAAATACAGGGGACTTGGAGCTCTAGAGCCTGTTGATAACAAGCCCTTTTGGTTTTCCTTGTACAAAAGTATCCCCCAGACTATGTCATTAGTAAGATTAAATCAGGAATCGAAGACTAATGGTTTGCCTTGATCCTCGTAGCAAATCAAAGAAGTTGCAGCTGACCACAGTTTGTCTTTTTTTTTTTTTTCTTTTAGTTTTTCGAGACAGGGTTTCTCTAGCTTTGGAGCCTGTCCTGGAGCTAGCTTTGTAGACCAGGCTGGTCTTGAACTCACAGAGATACGCCTGCCTCTGCCTCCCGAGTGCTGGGATTAAAGGCAAGCGCCACCACCGCCCAGGCTACCTCAGTTTGTCATTGTGCACTTTTTTTTTTTTTTTTTTTTTGAGACAAAGTCTCAAGGTCTCACTACACAGCTCTGGCCATCCTGGAGGTCACCATATAGACCAGGCTGGCCTCGAACTCACAGAGATCTGCCTGTCTCTGCCTCCCGAATGCTGGGATTAAAGGTAGGCACCACTAGGGGCCTGGCTACATTTTGATTTCTTCAGTTTAGCTTTCCAGGACTACTTCTGGAGGTACACCTTCTCAGAAATCAGCATGGCACATCTAGGGAGTCTGATATCCGCAGAATTCTGATTCCTTTAGGGGGATAGATGAAATCTACAACTTCTACACACACAGAAAGCAAATGTTTGAAATAATTACGAGATTTTTTAATAGATCTCATGTTTACTCACATTTGTCATATTTCGTGCCAGAGAGTATAAAACAATTTCCTTCAAAGGACTAGAATTACTTCATTACGACTTTTACAGCCAGATCACTATTTGATTTGCTTGCTTGCTTGGGAAGTCTGCTTTAAGTTCCTGTAAGTAAATGGATGTGTGTGTGTGCTCCTGTGAGGGAGTGGGTGAGCATGCGTGTGTGCTCACACGTATGGAGGGCAGAGGTCAATCTCACGTCATTTCTCAGGAGCCCTCCAAGTTGTTTTTTGAGACTAAGTCTCTCACTGGGACCTGGAGCTTATCGGTTAGGCTAAGCTGACTGTCACATCAGCTCCAGGCTCCCTGTGGCTCTACTTGCCTAGCCCTGGGATTGCAAACATGTGCCACCCTGACTAGTTTTTCATGGGGGTGGTGGGGCTCACACTTTGGTCCTCATGCTTACAGTTAGAACTTTCTCCCCATACCCCAGTTGTCTGTTTTGTTACTGGTTTGTGTTTGTTTGTTTGTTTGTTTGTTTGTTTGTTTTGAGGCAGGGCCTGTCTATGCAGCCCTGACT